AGTTCAGTTGACAAGATCTCAAAACAAGAATAGCCTGGAAATTCAGGGCAATACTTCACCAGGCAGGCGATGGTGGGAAGGCAGAGCTGGGTGCTGATAGTCCCTGAAAGCAACGGGCAGCATGAGCAGAGTAGGATGCTGAAACACTCACATAAATGAGCCCTTAGAAAGAGAATGCTAATGATCTGCTAATGCAATCAAGGCAAATGAAATCCCATGTGTAACCACTATCACATTATTGTGGTTGATTAGTCAGAGGCGAGAAGAAAGGAGGGAGCCTCCAGCCACACAGAAAACAGAATCTGTTCTCCATAGCTGTAATTGGTAAGACAAGAAATAGCAGACTTAAACTGTACCAACAAGAGATCTAGGCCAGAACAATTCCCAACAGCAAGGGCAATGGAGCATTGGAACAGGCTGCCTGCAGACACTGCTGTGACCCCATCTTAAGAAGGTTTTTAAAATAGTTTAGGCAAGTGGAATGATGCTGCCTTGAGGCAACAGGCCAGGCGAGGCTGCCTCCAGCCCCAGCCTACATGAATCTACGAGCAAAGCTTCAAAAACAGGTGGGGCATTTTTCTCCATTCTTCTGCCAAATTAGCAGGTCTGGGATGTCCTCTTCTGTAGTTAACAAAGACCATGTTTAAATAGGCCTGCCATATAAAAACAGTATGGTTAGTATCAGGGATATAGCAATGATTGGCAATGCCCTGATTACATTGATGCTACTGAAAAGGGCTCACACACCACAACCCTGGGCCCGGCGAATAACCTATATATAAAGGTGAAACACAAGGCACAGAGAGAACATGGAGAAGTGTAGCATGAACTTTGGAATATATTAGTACACCATATATCAGCTATTAGAGACACAAATCTGGGCTCAAAAAAAAACATTTTCTCCAAAAAGCTGGAAAAGTTGTTTCATAGACCAAATCTTTTACTCTCTGAAAACATCCTATGAAGTTTTCCGTTTTATTTAAGAATGTAGGAGGTAGCCGTCTACAAAGATGTCATCAAACAGGCAAATGTGATGGTCCATCCTCAGTGGGTGTTCCTATGTGCTTTTCCATGCTTTCAGCATGCTCAGAAGCAAAACGACATTTTCCCTGTCACTTCAGCTACCTTTATTTTAGGCGAAGTTCTTGTACATAGAGCCAGTGAAAGCTTCAACATATTTGGGCCAATTGAAACCTCTAGTCTTCCCTCCTGTCCCTTTCTTCTTGCATTAGCTAGACAGTCTGCAGAGATCAAAAAACATAGCCCAAATTTCAGGTCAGCTGAGCTCTTCTCAGAGATGCAGTCTTCATTTCAAGTTGAGTAAAACTCATCAGCTGCCCTCCTCCTGGAGATGCTTAACAATTTGCCCAGCACAGGCCACTTCACCTGACAACTATTTTACCGCTAAAAGACCAAGTATTATTTAGAAACATGCACTGTTCTTTTACTTCAACAGGAGACCGTGGAAACCCCCCAGAAAGTCTGATGGAGGCATTAATGCTGCTTGTGAGAGTTTTCCCTGGTCTTTACACAGCCTATCACCACATGAAAGCTTTGTTGAGCACTGGTAGACCAGAAACCCCAAGAAAGCAATTAAGAAATTAATTAGAAAATTAGAGAAGTTAGAAGTTAATGCTGAAAAAATATTTTTAAATAGAAGGTGACTAGTCCTTGTTCTCTAAACTGAAAAGGCAAGTTAAACTAACGCCAAACCATACAGGTTTGAAAGCCTATTACCTCTCCACAGATGGGTAAGTCTCATTCTTCCCTATAAATTTCTTGCTCTCAAGTTTGCAACAGCCAATCTGAGGATCCAGTATGATTATTCAGAAAAGCAACAAAACCAAGAGAATTCAAAGAACTGCCTCATGAAGAAAAACCAGATAACCAAATATAGACTCTGGTTAAACAAAGATGAAATTAGAGATAAGAAAGTTAGCAGTAAATTTACAAAGAACACAGGAGATACAGACATGGAAGAGGCTGAGGGAAAATTAATATCAACATTTAAATATTAAGAAGCCAGGATATGATCAAATTATTTATGGATTAGATTTACAGTAGATGATGAAGGTCCACTTACTAGCATACAAATACACAGTGGCTAAAACATTAAAAACACAGTAAAAAAAAAAAAATCCTACAATTTGATGTGTCACAAAGTACATAAATTTGCAGGATTAAAAAAACCCCCAACAAACCAAACCAAAACACAGATGAAACCCCCAAATCAACACACACACCCCTCAAACCAAAAAAACAACAAAAATGCCCCCAAGGAACAAATATTTTGCTTCATTTTCATTTATAGCATGGCCATCTTGCACAAATCACCACACCTCACTGCTACTTAAAATTTCACCTGAAAGCCCAGAATAATCTTGTTTTGAATTTGGTAACGTCTGCCTCCAAACTTCAGCTGAATATCTGTGTTAGCTAGTCCTTGCTCAGCCAGACTGAAGCATTACAAAATTATTTTGATTTTCAACAATAATATTTAAAAAAAAAAAAGCTCAAAAGAAATGTTTTTAGCAGAATTCAGATTGTTTCATAACGAAATAATGTCCGCGAACTTTTCAGGCTTCAGTATTTCGCGCTCCGAGTGCTGCTAACCAAGGAGGAAGGGAAACCCTGCAGTGTCTGAGAGCAGAGAACATACTTGGACAAAAAGGAAAATCCCGCAAAGGACTGTCCCTGCACTTGTGACCTACCCTTGTCAGGTTCAATGAAAAACATGTTCCTTTGAAACTAGGAAAACCATATGTTAAACCTGAAAGAGGTAAATGTCAACAATTTTGGGAGGGAGGAGATCAACCTCCTGTCTCCCTGTCTCTCAGATTTTGAACAAGCAGGTGTTTTGTGCTCTGAAGTGTCAGCCAGCCATTGGATTATTTGTACCTTGCTCGAACAGATAAACATGTTTTCATCCACCACTAAGTGGAGCTGTTACTCTTGGAAATGAGTTTCTCCATCCTTTCAAGTATATTTGCAGATCAGATTTTTTTGGCAGTATCTACAGCTTTCTGAGGTGTTTTAAAAATTGAAACCAAACAGTTTTATAGTTGCTTTAGTTCTATAGCTAAAGATTTTTAGCTATATTTTGTAGCGCAAAGATTTTTGCAGTAAAACTATTTATCAAATATATTATACTGAGGATAATATTTATATATTCTGTAATCGAAGGATAAATATCTACGTACCAATCACTATTTGGCAGTTCTCGTGGGATGAACTAGTGGCATAATTAAGGTTGCAAAGAATAAGTTTGCACATAACAAAAGATTGCTCCATCACTGATACATACTGGAACCATTTCCACCTGTTTTGGCAGAGGCTGCATGCTTTGAGGCACATGCAACCGAAACAATCTCCCACCCACAAGCATTACTGCAGCTCAGGGAAGTTTTGAGGCACAGAGCAAGAACAGCATGCAGCAGCTGTACTACTGCCACCTCTATATGTCATACCATGACATATGAAAAAAAGCAATGTGTTATAAAGCAGGACATGTAGTCTACACACCCACTATAAACTTCTGAAAAAAATCTGCTGCAACGTCACAGGAAACTCAACTATACCCAGAGGGGTTGGCTGAGAAATGCACTGACATTGTTTTATCCCGAGTAACTTGTACAGTGACAACTGGTGATGGAGACTTCCCTGATTAAAATAAACTAAGTGAGAAAGAAAAGGAAACTCCAGGAAACAGTAACTAAACTATGTTTTGTGTTCATAAGTCTCATAAACGAAAATAGGAACTTGACATTTAAAAACAAAAGTATAAATTAAGCACTTGGCTTTCAGCCCTTCTGAATGTTCAGTCAACCGGCGATCAGAAAAAAACTTAGCTTTGGACATCCAAATCACCTCTGGTATCAACAAGAAAGAAAAAGCAGCTTTTCTAGGCAAAAAAGGGTAACATGTAAATTCCATTGCTTTCCCATACTTCAGTGCTGTGTGGCACTACTATGACTCAGTAGACAAGCAAATTTTTTTTGTTGTTTAAAAGCAACATAAACAAAAATTAAATCATGTTCCTGAGAAACAGTCCAGAATGAAACAATATTAATGAGACACAAACACACTATCTTGATGCCACAGTCCCTTTAAACATATTTTAAAAAGAACTTTCCTCTTCAGGGAAACTCCAGGTAAAGCAGCTGCCCTGATTTTTGAGCCCAGGCAGCCCCAGAATGGAAGCTGTAGGCCGACGCAGAGAAGGGAAAGGAAGAAAGTACTTTACGAAGCACTTGCTCTATGCAGTGCGAAGCCCTGTTTTTTGGCAAACGTGTTGTTTGTACAGCTCTCAGGAGCTCAGCTCTCTGGGAAGTTCTGGGAGCTCCTGACTCCTCTGAGTCAGAGACTCGCAGGAGCCACCTTTTCGGTTTTCACTAGGTGCACAAGATGACTCCTCCACGCAGAGAGAGCGAGACTGGGATCCCAGGGAGCAGAGGCCATGTCTTGACTCTCTTGCTCTTTGCTTACGTGACCATGGCTCTCCACCCTGCCTCAGTTTCCTCACGTACAAGCTTGCAGGTGATGAAAGTGTGCTCTTTGCTAAAGAGCAGCATTCAAAACCGGGAAGGGTGCGCTGCCATTTGGGATGTACAGATGTCATAACGCAGGTCTGACTTGTTCGCTCCCCTGCTCATACAAAAATAATGTGTCGTGGCCATAAATCAATGAGTCATAACACAGCTCTAACTTGTTTACTCCATTGCTCATAGCAAAATAATGTAAGGAAGATGGATGCTTATAGGGAAGGAATTTAAGCAGTGTAGTATAGTACTCCCCTCTCCTGTATTTTAATTGTAACATAACAATAGGTATTTAAGCCTTTATTACTACAAAGCAAGGCTTTACTGTGGTTC